CATTTCTCCCAATAAAGAAATCTTTGATGGAACTGTTTGGTCTCCAGAGGATTTACTGAACTTTGGGAATAAGTGTGCAGACTCTGACATTTTGTTGAGTCTCAACCATTCCGAGCGAGGGATTTACCTGGGGGAAAATCCCACTGTGGAAGTCCCTCTCAATGAAAGCCCAGGATGGAGGAAGAGATTCTTGAACTTGCAGCAGAAGGGGGGTGCGAAGAGGAGGAAGAACCCCTAACAGCCACTTACGCACGCCTTCCTCCACCCTGCGACCCCGAGCGGCGTATAACCAAGATATGGAGCCAGGAAGAGTTGTTCGGGGGATCATCGTACCTGGAGATGGGTCCCAAAGAGCGTTGGGCTCTAACTATGGGGAGAGTAGAATCCACTCGCATGGGAGCCATAGAGGAGGGCATGAGCATGCTGCAAGCGGAGAACAGCATGATGCGAAATGAATTGAGAGGGCTGACTGAGTTAATATGGCGATCAGGTATGTTCCTGGGCCCCGAGGCAGAAGGGGAGTGCGGAGAAGAGAGGGTGGAGGAGGCGCAGCCAGCCACCTCCCCTCCTCCCGTGGCAATAGCTCCAACCGCTCCGGCAGCCCAGGGGACTCCAGCTGCTCCGGCAGCCCAGGGGCCTCCACTTGCTCAAGCCACGCGGGTTGTGCGCCTCCCGGCCGCCCGACGACGGCTCGCACCGCCTCAAGCCAACCAAGACGCCCTCTTAAAACGCTGGGGGTTAACTGAAAAATTTACCGGAGAACTGAGTGAATTGCCTAACTTCATGGCTCAAGTCACAATGTGGATGGAGCAGATGGGCCACCTATTCGCCTCCAACCAAGAGCACATGATCTACGTTTGCAGGTCGCTTTCTGGGAAGGCAGGGGAGTGGCTGATGGAAATGCACGAAGCCCAAGCGTCCGAACTGCACCACCTTGGCCGGTTTCTAGCAGCCCTATGGAGGAGATTTGGGGACCCGGGAGCAGTCACGAGGGCTCGCTCACTCAAACCTTGTGCTTATATCTCCCGCAAATTTACTGACACAGAAAGGAGATGGCTTGTTTGGGAAAAAGAGGCTTTTG